ATTGCAGCGAAAGGTAGTCTATGCTACTCTTCGGCGTTCAGAGCACATGCGTCTTTAGACTGAGTTGAAAGTTTTTCTATCATTCAAGCGGAAAAAATTTGATAGGCAGAAATTGAAAAATCAATAAATCAATAGGGGCAACTCGTGTGTCTCGAACAAAAGGCGTATTAACACACGCTCCTCCCCATACATGAAGTCTGCCAAATTTGGTTCAGATTTCTTGGCTCCTTCGATCCTTTTTAGGCGAACGTACAAAAAGTGGTTAAGCCAAATATTATATAGTATTGATTGATTGGTCATTAACACACGCCTCAACCGTGCATTATGTCTGCCAAATTTGGTTCAAATTCCATGAATCCTTACATAATTTTTGGGTAAACATGCAAAATGTTTCAAACAAAAACTGCAAAAAATTAATAAATCGATAGAGTCGAATGGTGGGTCCCGAACAAATGGCTTATTAACACACGACACACCCCATACATTATGTCTGCCAAATTCGGGGTGAACATACAAAATTTTCCTGGCAAAAACTGCAAAAAATCAATAAATCATAAAGTCGAACGGTGGGTCCTGAACAAAACGGCTTATTATATGTCTGCCAAATTTAGTTCAGATTCCATGGATCCTTATATGGTTTTTGGATGAACTTACAAAATTTTCGAAACAAAAACTGCAAAAAATCAATAAATCGATAGAGTCGAATGGTGGATCCCGTACAAAATGGCTTATTAACACACACCCCACTCCATACATTATGTCTGCCAAATCTGGTTTAGATTCCATAACTCCTTCTATCCTTTTTGGGCGAACATACAAAAAAATTTTTCAGACAAAAACTGCAAAAAATCAATAAATCGATAGAGTCGAATGGTGGGTCCCGAACAAAATGGCTTATTAACACACACCCCACTCCATACATTATGTCTGCCAAATTTGGTCCAGATCTCATAACTCCTTACATCTTTTTTGAGCGAACATACAAAAAGTGGCTTAGCCAAATATATTAGGTTGTCCCAAAGTTCTTGCGCCGGATATTCAAAAAATCATAACTTCCCTGCCACTCACGGGATTTTTTTGAATTCAATTTCATTTGAAAGAAGAAACCTTTCTCTTTACAGCAGTACCTTTGACATGAATTGGTATTAGAAAGTTCCAGAGCTAGAGGCAATTGAACGAAATCAGTCAAGATTGGCATTTTTCAAGCTGAATCACGAAAAGTTCTGGAAGTATTTTTATTTGATAGAGAAAATTCTGCACATTACAGTGGTACCTTTTTCATGAATTAAAACTGAGTAGATCGAGAGTTAGAAGCAAATAAAGAGAATTTCTTCACTTTTGCAATTTTGAGCATGCTCAAAAATTGCAAAAATGAAGAAATTCTCTTTATTTGCTTCTAACTCTCGATCTACTTGGTTTTAATTGATGAAAAAGGTACCACTGTAATGTGCAGAATTTTCTCTATCAAATAAAAATACTTCCAGAATTTTTCGTGATCCAGCTTGAAAAATGCCAATCTTGACTGATTTCGTTCAATTGCCTCTAGCTCTGGAACTTTCTAATACCAATTCATGTCAAAGGTACTGCTGTAAAGAGAAAGGTTTCCTCTTTCAAATGAAATTGAATTCAAGAAAATCCACTGAGTGGCAGGGAAGTTATGATTTTTTAGATATCCGGCGCAAGAACTTTTGGGACAACCTAATATATAGTATTGATAAATTTTCTCAATCGTATCTTGTATTGCATGTTTTTCCATATTATGTATAACTAGTTGGCAAACCCGGCTCTGCCCGGGCCTGTCATTATTATATTCGTAATCAGCATGCTCGATTACCCCCCTGTGCCAACTCCCAGCCCTGTAGCTCAAATTTTGCAAAAAATCGATAAAATCGATATCGATCGATAACGAAAAGTAGCCTATGACACGCTCCCTGCCCCGAAGTATATGTGTGCCAAGTTTGGTCCCGATCGGTTCAGAAATAAAAATTTCTATTCCGCACATACGTACAGACAGACAGACAGACATACATACAGACATTCAGCTTTATATATAAGATTAATAAGTCATCCATGTATCTATATGGAATAAGTCGCTTGTTATTTGTAATATTATTTATTGAGTATATGTACTCTAACCAGGAAAGTGTAAGATTTGCCAAAAGAGGGCTAAAGTTACCTCCTTAAGGTACTCCTATTTTTTGTTTCAAATATACTTACTGAATTTACAAAAACTGTTATCATCATTTAATCTGTTAGGTAAAGTAAGTCCACTATTGAATGAAACTTTGTGTTTGGATTTATATTTATATCTATTATGTTATCTGCGTAATAGATTTTATTTTGTTTATGTATGATATATTTTCTACCAGCGTTTTTGAAGCATAGTTCGACAATTTCACTTATATTAATTTTAATGTTTAGTTCATAAGTTTCATGAGGCCTTTTAAGCTCTGATGGTAGAGGATACTTTGACGTTTCTAAACGGCTTTCAGAGTCTGTGTAAGTATAGTATAAATGACGAACTGAGTGATTTTAGCTAAAAATTTTCGACATTTTCTTAGAAGGCATTGTCCCACAAGGCAGACAACTAAAAATGCTTTCGCCAACGTCTTAACGAAGCCACGTACATTTGACATTACAAAGCCATTCCAGGACTACTGCGAATGTCTCTTATCTTGACTGTCACCTCTATATACCACATATATTCTTTGACTAAACGCTTGACTTTTCTCACAAGCCTCTTTTCGCTCTTCCACCGTTTGACTGGGCCTAATGAAAATATTATTGTACTTAGGATTGTTCCTAAGAAATCGAGCTCTACTCAAGACAGCGAGGCAGTGGGATCTGGAGGGTAGCGTTACTTCTGTAAAAGAGCCTCCTGTAGGTCAATCAATACGAAAAATCGCCAACGGCTTATCATTGAACTATCATTAGCTAACCTAATATTCTATTACTGTGGAGAAACACACAAGGACTTCTAATGGACTTTACTTTACTCAGATTTTTTTCATATTATAGCAACTAGCTCACGATTCGAATGTCTTTGAAGTTTTTGACAAGATTTTTTGGTTCAAATTTAACTTTCTTGAACTTCTGAAGGTTTTTGCAAACAAGTCCATGGCTTTTGATTTCTCTAAAGTCTCGAGAGACCATTCTGCGGAAAGTTTGAACTTGAGTGCGAAGCTCATTGCTTTTGACTTTACAAATTCTGTATCCATCGGTGAGGTAAGAAATAATAGCGATAACAAATGACTCCTGTTTTAGATATCTCATTCTATTTTTTTGATGTAGAAAGTGACTGCTTCTGCTTCGGCTTTACCAATTACGCCAATAAATCACATCAGCTTTCATAAACTGCTTGAAGGCAGTGTCTCACCAAAAAGTGGTTGCTGAGATTTTTGCATTTTACTAACCTTTCGGACCCTGTCTAGCAGTGTAAGGGCTTAGAACCGCACGAAGTTATCAAAAACCCCGTTTTCTGGAGGCCCCGCGAAAGCAATGTGGACGAGTTGTGCCTTCTAGCTTCAGCCTCCACCACAGTTGCAGCAACACAATGGAGGTGGATGCCATGGGGACGTGTTAAAACGCGTAAGGGGGAAGACCAGAGAAGTCGCCCGCGCGTACCAACTCGCTCTCCGCGTACCAATTTGAGCGAATTTTTCTCAGCGTGGAGGGGGTCTAATTCAGTGGGACTTGCTGCAATGGCCTATCCAGAGGGCCCTATAGTAGAATATGTGAAGATCCCCGCACCGTCAATTTTGGTGAGACACTGCCTTTAAGCACAGGGCCCGGCACGAGGTTGTCAAATGCAAGCTGGAAATCGTTTTCGGCAAAAAAAGCAAAGGGGAAATCATTTTTGCGGGGTCCGGGCGGAGCCCCGAAAAAAATTGATAGTTTATGCTCTCCGCGTATCTTAACATGTTATTGCCCCAACAGGCGAACACTGGAGTTCGCGCGCATCAAGTCGCGCCGTCGCTAATTGCCGCACGCGCGACGTCGCTCAAGCGATGCTATTTGTAACAGCATACATGACTAGCTCTCAATGAATGCGTAATGATATGGCACCAAATTTTGTACGCGAACGGAGAGAGGCTAGTGGAAACAAACTATGAAAAATTATGAAAAACTTATGTGAACGGAACGAGTAATAAGCGTTTTTTCCGAGAATTTCGCAAAATTGGTAAGTGAAGATGTGAATTCAAACGGCTTTGGAACGCGCAGATGACGATATGGTATGAAACTTGGTAAGTGCATGCACACGGGCTTGCAGGGCTTAATTCAGGAATTTCATTGAAAAATTATGTGACTGAAGGTCGTGGCAAACTTTTTTCTGAAAATTTCCCGCTACCAAAGAAACGGGAAAATGGCTCGCTTGCAACGCAGAGGGGATTTGGTGTGTATATGCGCAGTAGGACTAAGTAACAAAGTGTGAAAATTTATGAAAAACTTATGTGAATGAAGAGCGTGCTTAACTTATTTCCAAATTAGCTTATCATTTGACAAGCTAATGACAAGCTGAGCTTGTCAAAACTCTCAATTCACATATTTTTTCAAAATTTTGACATAAATCTACTCGACGCCTAAAGGTTAGTATATACTGAAAATTTGGTTTCAAAACTCCTCCTCTCCTCATTGCTAGAGGCAAAAATAGCTTCAGCAGCCTCGTTTCCTAAAGAGGAAAGCGCGCTCCAATCGAACGGCGTATCGCTGAGTCCTTTTATCGCCGTTTCGATATTGCATTATTTCTCTCGCGTCTATCACTCATCTTTGTTATCATTTCCGGTCGCCTACGCTGTTATTTTGAATTATCTTTGCTATTTTTTATTCTCCTCCATTTTCAGTACGAGTGAGATGGACTACATGCCTATGTCTACCACAAAACCGTAGGAGCTTGAATTTCTCGTAAGTTATTTTTGTTTTTCTTCCTTTTTCTTTATGTTTCTTTTTGTCAGAATGCTCAGTTGTAGCCATATCTTAGCCTCAGAATCTTGTGATGCATAATGTTGCTGACCATTCAGGCTGTGCTTGCTGTTAGAGAAGCGTTCGAGAGGAGATCCTTAGAAACAACTACAAAAGAATGCGGGGCAACATTGACAAATTGGCATGACCTTCTCGTCGCGAAGAAGGGAAAGTTGGCTGAGCTTTCAACTCTCGAACAGGATTGTGTGACTTGTTTCCCATAGATAAGACTGTCATCCGAAAATCGCAGCGTAAACCACTGACTGAAGTACGTGGAGAAGTTAAATACGCAGCCAGTTTCTGGACTGGTTTTCTGGAGAAGCAGGACGTATTAACAGACAGGTAAGTTCCAAGTAGCATTTACCTTGTAATATCTTCACTTCTTCAAGGTTGTTGTTCCTGCGGTGCTCCTGGAGCCGATTGGCGTCGCTACATTCACAACTCCAGTAAGTGCAATGCTATGTGCTTTAATTCATTCTTATTAGGCAGGTTTGCTTACAAACTTAACTCGAATTTCGTTATTTTTATTTCTAGTGGAACTTTCCCACGGCAATGCTCGCAAGGCTGGAGCAGCCTTTGCCGCTGGTTGCGCAATTGTAGTGAAGCCAGCTGAGGTCACGTTACTCAGCGCCCTCGCTCTAGCACAGGTTTCTCGCTAATTAACACTTCTTTATAAAATAATGTTTAGACAGCTGAGGAGGCAGGAGTCCTAGGAGCGTTCAATGTCATCACTGCTGATCGCAGAGAACAGCAAAAATCTTGAAGCACATCTGAAGCACCGACTTGGACGTAATGAACTTAGTCACAGGAAGCACTGCCGTGGGAATACTAGTAGACTTCTGCTCTCAACTTACTTTTGAATTTTTCGAAAACGTTAGGCGCATTGTGATGCACGACTTTTGGCATCGTCTTTCAATCCTAGCATAGCTCAGTAGTTACAGCGGACCATATTTCACATATTGTATCGATTTCTTCACCTTTTTATTTTTGTCATTTCGCACTTAGCAGTCATTCCCTATCTATGTTAGGTAGGCGCCAGACTAAGGTAAGCGCCAGACTAACCGATTGCCTGCTTCAGCAGGATGTGGCGCAGTTACTGTCATTTGATGTCACGTTGTAGGAAAATCAAGTCGGCATGCGCGATTTCGCACAACAGAAATTTTCAATGGTGAAGCCTTTCAATCATTCTTCCATTCTGCGAGGCTTTCTACCATCTCTTCTGAACTAATGCTGTGCGAACACGCAGACGCCACTCCGATTTCCGTCCAACATGACGCCATATGACATCAGCTTTTTAGTTGCGCAGCGTCCTGCTGAAGCAGGCAATCGGTTAGTCTAAAGCCTACCTTACTTCTGCATATTGAATATCCAAGAGTTACCATTGAGTTGAGATTATATGAGAATGGCAGAGTTTCTGGATTTTGCAGCCGATTTTTTTTGATGTCATGTTAACCCCTCCAAAGAATGGGTCGCAGTTTTCCAGGATGGCTTGCAAGAAGTACATTGACTTTTTAAAGCGACTGCAGTTCTAGCACAGTCCAATGATGCGATGCCTAGCATAAAACGTTGCATTACACCGTTCAATATATTACAAGGGTTGTTTCATTTTTCTGTTTTGCCGTTTCGCCCTCAGGCAATGATGCAGTGGCGTACCCAGGATTTCGGCTCGGGGGGGGGGCGCGGCAAAAAAAATTTTTAAATGAAGGTGCGTGGCGTTAGCCACGCACTCCAAAAAAATTTTAGGGGGGCTTCTCAACAATTTTGCGGGCCCCCAACCCCTAAAATCTGGAAAAAGGGGGCGTGGCGTCAGCCACGCCCCCGAAAAAAATTTTTATAAAGCTATATTAAATTTTTAAAAAATTTTAAAAATTATTTTAATTGTTTACAAAAATAAACAAGTCATTTGCACATTTTTGTAACGCATGTAAGTAACTTTCAAAAATTTCGCGACCCGTTCTCGGGGGGGGGCGCGCGCCCCCCCCGCCCCCCCCCCTCGGTACGCCACTGCAATGATGGTAAGGTTTTGTTTAGTACAATATATACGAGTCAGACTTTTCCTTGTTTGTGCTAGTTCTGCATGTCGCAAATTCAGGGGTTACCATTGTATCGTCGATTCGTTGACCTCAAGGACTGCTCATACGCTGCGAACCACTCGCAGCGCGGCTGAATTGTCGCGAGAGCACGACTTTGAAAATGGCAAGTTTGTACGGGGCACGCGTTTTACCTCGCGGCGCGTGCTCCGCTGTGATGTCCAGTCCGTGCATTCAACGAATCTATATAGGGCTTTGCAGGATCGTGAGAGTCGGCGCGGTTGCGGCCATTGCGCACACAGGATGCCAGAAGGTCTGAAACCAACAGAACAACCCCGTTCTTTTCAAAATCGTCTCAAATGAATGAATGCTAACATCTGATAGCAGAAAGGCATTCGAAAGGAAAAAGAATAGCGAGAAAGCTCAATGCGCGAGCAATGGCCGCAACTACGCCGACTCTCGCGATCCTGCAGAGCCTTGTAATTGAAATTACATGAAAATAGTGGAGGTCTGACACGTCCTATTTTAGTTCATAAAACTCTTTAACACATTGATGACCGCTTGACACACATGGTGTGTCAAGCAATGACTACCACGTGGGACCGCTTGACACACCATGCGTGTCAAGGCTTGAGTTTTGTTAAAATGATTACTATCCTGGGAAAGACTCATTGCTTGAGCTCCTTTTGCACTGAATTTAGGAATGACCTCTTCCTTTTTTGTCAGCCTTTCAGATCCACTGTGAGTGTACTGTAAATGGCAGTATCCGCAATTATGGTTGAAAATTGCTTTCTGGTTCATAAATGGCCTTGGTCCCAGAAGGCAAACAACCAAAAATCTACATGGTCGTTAATGTGTTGAGAGGTCTAAGAATAGGTGGTAAATTTTTTGCGCAATTTCAAAATCAAGAATATCATCTAGGTCCGAGCCAATCCAGTGAGTTTCTGCTCCTCCTCGCTCCTACTTTCGAGAAAATCTGCACAGCGCAAAAGACCGATGAAGGTTAAGCACGGATCTATAGCTCTAGTTTCACTATCAGATCCTCTCATCTGCGTAGTCGTTTACGTATATAATATGAATTTGTAAATTGGCATGGCCTGAACTTTTCATAGGTTGTTATTGTCATTGTGAATTGTTTTTATTTTTTTTCTTCAATAAAACTTGTTCTATGGGTAAAGGGTTCACTGCGCAATCACTGGGGCCAGTTTTTGGGTCAAAGGGGTACTCGCAAAAAATTTTGGGGTCAAAGGGGAATTCGTTTTCGAAAACCCCTTTTGACAACCTCGTGCCGGGCCCTGCTTAAGCACCCTCGGCAATAATTTTGGATGTAATCGTTTTATTTCTTACTGTAAATATCGTCGTTGTCCAGATGTGAGAGAAAAAGCTTTATAACATTTTAGCAAAAGTATGAGATAAACCCGCTGAATATTTCGAAATTACAAAATCTTTCGAATGACATCGATTCGGATTAGAACTTCCAAATCATTAACAAACTCAACACGGCTTAATCAACAGACAAAGTAATTTCAAGCTTTAGTTGGTGTTTGTGGTTGCGTATGGTTGATGGAGAGATACTTAGCCGTTAGTTTCTCGAGAGGAGCATCTTCTAAGCTGCACAAAAGATCAAGCACAACGTGGTCTGATTTGTTAGTTGTACCACCGTATCTAAAAGGTTATAAGGACTTCATAGAAATAGCAGGCAAATTAAAATCCCCGTACTTGGTTAGATTAACAATTGTGACGCAATACATAGTGTCGGAGAGATTGATATTGTTTAGAAATCGAGTGCACCTGTAAGGATGTCTTGAGTAAGGGTTACTTGGCAAAAAAATGTAAAATGCAAAACTTACTTTGTTGCGCATTCGATTGCAAAGTCTTTATAAGGTTTTGACAAGTTTTTCCACTTTCCTTCTTCAAAGTCTTTTAGCACCTGAAGTCAGATTGGATAGAAAATTCAGCTCTATGTGATGAGTGAACATGAGTGATAAATATGCCATTAGTGAGTAAGTTGTGTGAAAAAGAAAATCAAGCGTTGGAGTTCCGTTCTTTCTCACATCTCCAGCTCTAGACCTGACACTTGCTTCCACACGAGCTTCATCAAAAGACCTGATTTTGTTTGAAGCGTTTCTGTCAACTTCTGACAACTTTTGTCAATGTCCTTCATATTTGCAGGAAAAAATACTGGAAAAAATTATGAACGTAGCTGTCTTGGAAGTCGAAAATCTTTGATATAAGAGTTATGAATGCCACGTAAAAAACTCTTACTCTGACATATGACAAATGGCACCTTTTCAATAGTACATTCTGCTAAATCGAGATTTTTGATGTCAATCGAAGGTAAAATTATTACCTACGAGCTCTCTCTAATTTGAAGTGGGTTTTTGGCTTTGGCCATGTTTTTGGTGCTTGCTCTAAGTCCTATAATACAATGATTGCTTTTAGCCGTACATGATCCACTCATGCAGATAACTTTACAGTACGAAAGGACATTTTTTATGTTGCGGAACAATGAAAAGCAAGTGTGCACCTTCCAACTTGCAGCCAATGTTTTGTTCTATGGTTTCCCAGACTTTTCTCCTCTGCGCACATCACGAAGACGATTCTATGGTGTGCTTTTAGTTACGGGGCCTTTAATTGTCTCCTTCAGCTGCTGTTCTAGATAGAGGGACCTCCTAAATCAGGGAGCACTTTCTGCCTTCAAGATATAATTCCTACTAATCTTGGAAGTCAATCTCACACTGCGCCTAAAGAAACTTAAATAAAAATGTTGTTTCGATAGGACTGCTATTAGGTTGTCCCGAAATTAATGCCCGTTTTGAATTCCAACCGCTATAAGTCATACACTTCACATTTCTAAATAGGTTGCAAAGTACCATTCGATAGAGCAAAGCAAGCTCTACAAGATGGCTATCTTGCTTTAGCAACAGCTCTGATCCACCACGAGTAGCCAAAAACTAGAAGGATTTAACTGCCCGAAAAATTGAGAAAAATCGTAACTCAGTTCATAAAAATCCTACAAAAATTCTAACTTGCTCACGTAAGCACTATCCACATAAAACATCTGTATACGCCTTTGCCGTATTTTTTCCTCTGTTAGAAACCAAGAAAACAGAAATTTTCGTGCATTTGCTAAAGTGACGCTGTGCTGTACATAGGTAGTTGTATAACACAAGCCTGTAGAAATACATACTTAAATTTTCAGCTCTCTACAAGCTTTAGTTTTCGAAAAATAACGAATATAGTTTTCCCTACATAAGAATGCACGAAAATTTCCTTTTTCCTGGTTTCTAACAGAGGGAAAAATATGGCAAGGGCGTATATAGATATATTATGTGGATAGTGTTTAGGTGAGCAGGTAAGAATTTCCGTAGGATGTTTATGAACTAATTTACGATTTTTTTCGATTTTTCGGGCTGCTGAGTCTTTTTAGTTTTTGGCTCGAAACTCAAGATGGATGAGAGCTGTTGCAAAAGCAAGATGGCCATCTTGTAGAGCTTGCTTTGCTCTAGAACGGTATTTTGCAACCTATTCAGAAGTGAGAACTGTATGACTTATTGCGGTTGAAATTTAAAACGGGCATTAATTTCAGGACAGCCTGATATACGTCCAAATCACCTCCTCTCCCCGAGTCTGAGTCGCGAATTTTTGAAAGTAACTTACATGGCTTAGTGATGTGCAAGTGGCTTGCTTATACTGTAAATGATTAATACATTTTTTAAAATTTTTCAAAATTCAAAAAAGCCTTGTATAAAGAAACTTTCGGCGGGCGTGGCGGCAGCCTTTTTACAAAATCGGGATGACGGGCTCGTATAATTTTTTCGTACAAAAATGCGTGGCTAAGGCCACGCATCTTTATACGAAAAAATTTTTGTTACTTTCCTCCCCCCCCCCCGGGCAGAAATCCGGGGGCCACCTTTGGTCCAAGTTAGGATTTCTATATAATAATTATTTAGAGTCTATACTAGGTGTTTCCCGTTTGGAGAGCCTCAGAAAGAGCCTGTTGCAAAGATGGATGATGTAAGGCACTGCTTTGTTAGAAAAAAACAAAAAAATTATTGGGGTGACATAAGATCTTTTCATGAAATTCTATAAGGTTGCTGACTGACTGTTGCAACTTCTTTACTCTAGCTTCTCTCTCACTGGACATGACATGCTCAAATTCTGCCATCAAGTGGGTCATGATATAAACCACAGGTATGTTCTGCTAAATCTTGACGTCGCAGTGAGGGTTACGATAGATATACCGTATTGTGCCAAATAAACGGTATATTTCAAAAAACGCTGCATCATTATGGTTCTTGCTGAAAACAGGGCCTAGAAGGTTATCCGACGTCCTGATCACGAAAGATTTTGCGTGATAAGGCTTTTTGGTAAGAACAAAAGACCTTAAAATTTGAGATTTTCGACTTTATGAAGGCGCCGGATTTCGATTTGGCTTCAAAATCCATTTCTTTTTTATTGTGCCAAGTAAATTAAGCTCTAGCACTGGACTAGGTTGCGAACATCATTTTTGCCTATAACTCCGTAAATCCTCAAACCACACTAGTCTCAGAAAAATGCTTGGGAATTCTCTATCTCCTCAAAAAAGCAAGCGATTTGTGCCAGTTTCTAGCGCACACTTCTATGCAATGTCGAAAGATGAGCGCGGTAAGGCCAAAAAGCGAAAAGTTCCGGAATTAGTTGCAAAACTTTGTTAACAACATAATTTCCAATTATACATAAAATTGTTTTGAGCATCAGTCAAAGGCTGCAAATCTCTTAATCCCATATTAACGTTTAGTGCGTAATTGGCCGAAAAACAACCACTTCACCTTTCCCTTGAAACGTACCCTTGGTGCAGGCAGAACCCGACTTTCAATCTCTTCAACGATAGATTGCGATCGTGACAGCTGTTTCTTCACCGGCTCTTTTTCTACGATCTCGCTGTTTTTGTCGACAGACATAGAAGTGCTCTTTGCTGAAAGATGAGACGGATCAGCTGGCTTTAGTACGAATACACTTGTATTAGCAAACATCGTACTCAATGCTGGTTTGTTTTCTTTTGCTGAACCTTCCTCTTCAACTGACTGTAGTTTGGGCAACTGCCTGAAAAAAGAACCTTTTGAACGTGCAAGAATGATGATTTCTCACAAGGAAAGCAGCTGGATTAGAGGCAATTGAAACATCTAAACAGCTTAAGAAAATGTCTCAAAGATAACATGTACACTACTTGATCGTTAATATCTTCATTACCTCAATTTCATTGCATGTTTCAACTTACAATTAGATCAAGGTATCGAAGATATTCCTCACCTTATTTATTACTGTGAGATTACGACAAATATTTGCGCACTTTGTATAGTTGTGCAAGCTTCGCTTCAAACTGTTTTTGGAAATCAAACCAAGCATGTGGCTCAACATCACATGCTACTTTAAGTACGCACTCAATATGAAAATGATAATAAATCAATATTGTAAATAAATAAATATGGTAGTGTAGCCTTGATAAAGTGACTGAATCTCAAAATTCATCACCATATATTTGCCATCCAAATTACTGCGAATGATGAAGAGGACTTAGATTGAAAGAGACAAAAACAGGGCCCGGCACGAGGTGGGCAAACGGGGTTTTCCAAAACGAATTCCCCTTTGAACCCAATAAATTTTACGAATACCCCCTTAAGCCCAAAAATGACGCTTTATGCTCGTGCAACGAGAGTACTGGCCACCCTTCGCCTAAAAGCGCCCAAAGTGCTCAAATTCGTCAAATTACTCCTCAGCTGTATCAAGATAGAAAACAGGAAGAAAAATAAGCAAGAAATATGATGAAGGAATGAGAAAATATTGAAGTTACCAGTCATAGGAATGAGAGACGCCGTTCCCGCGCCTATCGATTGACTGGGGCGCGCTTTCCATCTTAGAAAGCTAGGCTGCTGATGCGATTTTGGGCTCTAACAAGGACAAGAGGAGGAGTTTCGAAACCAAAATTTCACCATGTAGTAAACTTTAGGTGTACAACAGATTTATGTAAAAATTTTGGAAAAATTATATGAATTGACTAGCTGGCTTACCCGGCTCCGCCGTATCTGGACCAAACTTAACACACATACACTTCGGACCCCGGCGGGTGTCACAGTCCACTTTTCGTTATCGATCGATGTCGATTTTACCGATTTTTATTGATTTTTTTGCAGAGTTCACCTACAGGGCTAGGAGCTGGCACAGGGGGAGAAGTGAGCATGGGGATTCCGAACACAATATTAGTTTTCAGAATTATCGATTACTTTTATTGATTTTATCGATTTTTTGTAAATTTTGACATGCGAGGCTGGGATTTTGCACAGGGGGTAATCGAGCATGCTGATTACGAACACAATATTAGTTTTCAGGATCGTCCATTACTTTTATCGATTTTATCGATTTTTTTGTAAAGTTTGACCTGCGGGGCTGGGAGTTTGCACAGGGGGTAATCGAGCATGCAGATTACGAATACAATATTAGTTTTCAAGATCGTCCATTACTTTTATCGATTTTATCGATTTTTTGAAAATTTGAGCTAGGGGGCTGGAATTTGGCACAGGGGTGTAATCGAGCATGCTGATCACCCCCCTTGGGGATGATCAGCATGCTTGATTACCCCCCTGTGCCAACTCCCAGCCCCCCAGCTCAAACTTTGCAAAAAATCGATAAAATCGATAAAAGTAATCGATAATCCCGAAAACCAATATTGTATTCGGAATCCCCATGCTCGATTACCCCCCTGTGCCAACTCCCAGCCCCGTAGCTCAAACTTTGCAAAAAAATCGATAAAATCGATAGAAGTAATCTATAATCCTGAAAACCAATATTGTATTCGGAATCCCCATGCTCGATTACCCCCCTGTGCCAACTCCCAGCCCCGTAGGTGAACTCAGCAAAAACATCGATAAAAATCGATAAAATCGATATCGATCGATACGAAAAGTAGCCTATGACACCCGCCGGGGCCCGAAGTGTATGTGTGCCAAGTTTGGTCCGGATCGGTTCAGAAATGGAATTTTCTATTCGGAACATACGTACAGACATACAGACATACATACAAACAGACATTCAGCTTTATATATATAAGATAGTTTTGCCCACCTCAGGTGGGCATTAGGTGGGCAATTGCCCACCTAATTTGAAAAAAAGTTGAGCACGCTCTTCATTCACATAAGTTTTTCATAATTTTTCATACATTGTTCCTTAGTCCTACTGCGCGTATACACACCAAGTCTCGCGCGATTTCGTTTTCTCTGCGCTGCAATCGAGCCATTTTTCCTTTTCTTGATAGGGGAAATTTTCAGAAGAAAGCTTGCCACAACCTTTATTCACATATTTTTCAATGAAACTTCTAAGTTAAGCCTTGCAGGCCTGTGTCCATGTACCTACCAAGTCCCATACCGCATGGTCATCTGTGCGCTGCAAACGAGCCATTTGAATTCACATCTTCACTTACCAGTTTTGCATATTATTTGGAAACAATGCTTATTACTCCTCCCATTCACATAAGTTTTTCATAATATTTCACAATTTATTTCTACTAGCCTCTTTTCGTTCGCATACCTAATTTGCTGCTATATCGTTACGCCTGCATTGAGAACTGATCATGTAATCATGCTGTTCAACGGCATCGCTCATGCGACGTCGCGCACGCGGCAATTAGCGGCGGCGCGGTGTAGCGCGCGCGAACTCTGGCTCCCGCCAGAGTGCCGAAGCCATGCCAGCGCTACGCCAGCGCCGAGCCAGCGTTTCGATCGATACACGTGTATTTCGTTCGGGACATTTACCTGCTGAGAACAAGGTCAGCTAGTCCCGCCCCAACGAAATACACGTGTATCGATCGAAACGCTGGCGTAGCGCTGGCATAGCTTCGGCACTCTGGCGGGAGCCTCTGCTGTGCGTTGAGGCTTATGAAAACTACTTCCCAATGAATTAGATGTTTAAGGTAATGAGCATGATTCGACCTTCTTTTGCTTGCAGTTGGAATGTTCTTCCGGGGCTCCACTCTCGACCCCGCAAAAACGATTTCCCCCTTGCTTTTTCCACTGAAAACGACTTCCAGCTTGTCATTTGGCCACCTCGTGCCGGGCCTTGACAACAAAGTGCTTGGTATGGGGAAAGCTAGAAGAAAAGAAAAATTTGCACTTTTTCTGTAATCGTGGAAGCTTCCGCTCCTGCTCCACAGTTCGTTTCAGGATCAAAGGTTCGCGAACAGCTTCATGGCTTTAAATCTTGGTATATCCAATAGAGTAAAAGAATTTCTTTCTGTTGTAGATTCATAGTGGATGCATATCAGAAAAGAAAACTGTCTCAAAAGAGAGCTAAATAGTAGTGGTTTTGCCTTTTCTTGTAGACTGAAAATTCAAAATTCAAATCTAAACTAATATGAACCGATGCGCAGATTGCGCAGAGAATAATCACGTTGGAATTCAAATTCGTACCAAAAGAATTTTTCAGAGATAGTAATGCCTACTTGACGAGTTTTGGTTTCTTCGGAATTTCTCGATTACTGACATCCAACACCTCATGTATATGAAGCATTCCACCTTCTGGTCGGAGCGCTTTACAAGCTGTCAGCCAGTGAGCTCGACAGGACGGTATCAGACCGAGGAATACTCGGTCGGCCACCGAGCAAGGGGTTACCTAAATCATACTGAAATTTGTACGAAGCTTTACGAATTGAATTTCCTACCCTTCTGCTGTCACCCTCGATTATGACCATGCGGTCTTGAACATTGTTAGCCTCGGCTGTTCTCTTGAGTGCTTCGCACATATCGTCAGACCAGTCGATTGAGATCACTTGCTTAGCTCCACAACAAACGAGAAATCGGAGAGAGTAGTAGCCGAGACCTTAACAGCAAAAGTTTGAAAATTTTTAGATGTCTTACAAATGCTGGGATTTTTCTTACCAGCATACATATCCACAACAGTTTCGCCATGACAATCCCATTCAGATATCCGCTGCATTTCTGGCACTTTCTTATTGTTAAAAACTCTTTTTGAAGCATCATAGATAAATCTAAAACAAACTTCCAAGGTAAAAATTTTACTAGTTCATAAATGTGTTAAACTGAACCTTATTCCATGATCATCCACATGTTCAACCCATCCATGTGGACCGTATAAGAGATCTACATGTGGAGTTCTCTCATCATCGTCGCCAATAAAACGCTTCCGTCCCAGACGAGCGATGTTTAGCGACTCGGCAACAACTCGCCAAAGCTCTCGGCCTAAAGAACAGCCAAAATATAAACGATTAAGAAATGAAGAAAAACTTTGTGATTTTTTCTGTTAAATTTGAATGGTCGCAGGATTGTAATAGGTTGATAAATCTTGCACACATATCTGTAAACTTTCAATAATCTTCAACGAACTCATTTTCGAGAGAAAGAAATGCATGCGCCTCCTAGCGGTGCTTAGAGCAAGTATTATTCTTGACATACTGCGAATGAAGAAAACTTTTTTTTGACTCTGGTCTTCAAGACTGCTAAATGGTCCATTTGAAGCTAAATTTATGTTGTTCTAAACCTTTAACATAAACTGATCATTCTGATTAAGAGCAAATTGTGGTGATTAGTTGCTTACAAAATGTATGATCAAACAAATAGTTTTTTGAACATTTAAAAAATCATAATTCGGAGCAACACTTTTGCAGCAACCCGTATAAAAATTACTGATAAATAGCAATGCAAAAGTTAAGTTGTTAGACTAACTCGGTGGAGAACATAAATTTAATCGAACTGCCACCTATTTAGTGACTACAGTTGAATTTTCCATTCCATTTGTTCAATTCAACGTCTTAACACCGCTTGTCACTAGCAGCCAAAGCCTCAACTAGGATGAGTGATTGGCTTATTTTGCTCCTAGGCCACTCTCAGTTCACTGAGATTGATAGATCAGCTGTTGCTGACATCAAAAATTACGTGGTGCAAGGAAATATTGATTTTTGTTTTGATGAATTGCTAGACTTGTGGATGGAGCTTGTTCGAAGTGCCCAGTTTAAGCAATCGTGACTTTATTTTACAGATCCTTGATTTGTCAAAAAAGTTACATCATTCTGTCAGAACGTGGCATTATATGAATGGTCGAGCAGATTTTTCCCCAGAAAGCCCAAGAAAAAAATAAAACGCCCATTTTTCTAACCTGCCTTCAGTCAGACATTGTCTAAACAACCTCATATTTACTTTTTCCGTCCATTGAGAAGACAAGCAGTTTCGCAAACGAATGGTGCTAAAATGCTGCCATTGAATGTTGAATTTGACTGACGGATAAACACCATTAGTTTCACAACCTCATAATCAATATCTTTCAATTTTGACTGTAGGTAGGAATTTTGACTTTTACAAAAACACAAGTTACCCATGAAACTCACCTATGTATCTCCAATTATTATGAGTGAAGGAGTTTTGTGGGAATACGATCATATCACCATGCTTTTCCCACTTTTTGGGCAGATCTCGTTGCATCTCGTCATCCCATAGACCCCTGGAGGAGGCCAAAGCACGAACCTAAAAACAAAATGAACATATTCACAAGGAAATAAATATCTTTGGATAGGCCAGCCCTTGAACATTTGCAGCAGTGAAGGGCCGGGCATACTTCACGCGATTTCAGTTGTGACGCGATTTGGCAACATTCCATCTTTCCATAACTCACTGGCACATTTTGAATGTGGCTACAGTGAGTTGAATGAATGTGAAGATAAGGCATTTTATCAAACCACTCAAGTTATACACACTATGCATGTGCAGTTTGCATTGGATCTAAGACTTCTGGCGAATTGCCAAATCGCTTCGCTACTGAAATCGCGCGAAGTATGTCCGGCCCTTAAGGAATTAAAATGGATATGCATTACGAAACACAAGAAGAGATTCTCATCAAGCCCTCAGATCATAATTGAATAGTCAAAGTTTGTATGTCAGAGTATTATACTGTACCCACACTAACTATTCGACAGAAAATGCAAAAACAGACGATCTGCGTTTTTTTTTTCGTTTTCTCTTCACAACTTCCTTCAGATTGCATAAAATATGAATCTAAAAAATATTATGCTCAGCTCGTCAAGGCGAATCTTCTAGTATGCTGAACTACATATCTTACTATTCCGTTTCTGCTCGATTTTTTTGATAGGACGGGTGAGCACTGTATTACTCATATGTGATGTGCAGTTCGTAATTTGCAGCGTCGTATACCGCCAATTACTGGAAGAAAGCATACGTAATGACAACGTTTTAGTGCGTCCAGATTATTCGAGCTGTTCTGGGAATGCAATTTATTCCGAGATTCTTCGCTGTAAAACAATGTCTAAAGAACCTGTTTCTATATATAGCATCCCAGCTTTGCAGACTTTTCGCCACGAGAAAAAGAGCTGTTCGCGAGCGCGTTAAACCTATTGATAGGCTATTCGAAGCTATGTACAAGAACAGCTGCACGCTCTTGCAGAGGCCAAACGAAAAATGGGGCAAAACTCACATTTTCGAGCATTGTTCCGAAAGTGGACACTTTGGAGAGCTGTTCGATACTGGATCTTCTTCCATCTATAATCTTGTTGATAAAAATATTCAAGCGGGTTTGTCGATTTCTCACCTTCTAAAAAGTTAGACCGCTTATCCTCCAAGGAATTCTTCATGCGAATCAGGGGTGGGTGCTTGAGCATGATCTATAACTGCAAGTCCTATAGTTTTGTAAAAGTTCCAACCGAAACGATAACGGGGTTATACATAGAAGAAAAGATTTCGGTGATAATTCTAGAAAGAATCTCTCACGTTAAAATATAAAAAGTTTGAACCTTAGAAATCATGAGAATTTCCTATAAGAATGAGGGCGAGTGAAATTCTGAAATTTTATCAAATGAGTTATCAGTATGAGAATCATGACTAGCATCTTGTGGGACCACTATGAACCTCGCTCACCTTCCTCCTCTCCCTCCCCCCCCCCCCCTCCTGCCCTCCGCCTCACAAACTAGCAAAGAAATTAATTCAATAAAGTAATAAATAAGATTGGAATAAGAATTTTGAATAACCACAACAACAAGCAAAGATATTTGGAATATTTTTGTGAGAATCAAAATTTAATTTGATTGAAAAATTTATTTTAAAAAAATTCCATTCAAATCGAATCCTGCAGTATCGGGCCTTCCAAAGATGATTTTTCTCCATAGTAGAGATGCCAGAACAGCTAAGAACAGCTGCATTTCTGCGTTCTAAACGTCAACAGCCAGGAATTCGACAACTGTGCACTTTGACAAGGAACTTATCAACGCCCTGCAGTTAGATAAACAAAAAGCTGGTTCCACTAATGTTTTCATTACGGGAGCTATGATAAATGCAAAGAAAGTGTAGATCAACAATGTGAAATTGCAGACGTCTAGTTGTAGAATCATTGTCGCTGATTTTCTGCTCTGTTTTTGCACGATTGCAAGAAGAGAGCAAAAGGGGATTTGAAGCTAGCCCCTTCATCTCTGAATTCAAATTGATGGTTCTCTCCAGTAACTATCAAGTTAGCGATGCGATTTCCCATTATGGGAATATTGTAATTCTAGCCATTCTGTAGCCAATACGATGGGAAAGAAAGAGAAACCATGATATGTTGACACTTGCAATATCCACAGCGTGAAAGGTGTATTGCAGAACTATGAGTCCAAGGCCTAGGGCAAGAGTACTTTTATTATTGATTTTACTAAGAAAATTCTTATAGAAAGAGTAACTGATACAAACCAAAACAGCTGTTCGAAATGCGAATGTGTCAAGTCAGTAATGAACAATTTTTTCGAATAATATGAATATGGAAGTTGAACTTGAGCTGAGTTTTTAGAGCTACTAGAGCTAGAGCTTTTAGAAAAACTGAAAAAAAAGCATACTGCAGATAAAAGTCATCTATAATTTGTCTGCTCTTTAGTATGGCAATAGCGATGAAATATGATACTTATGGGTAACGGCAAGAATCCAAAAAGTCATTCTCTTCGGGCAAATATTAGCTTAAAGGCACCGTCCACCCAAAATGGGGTCTATGAGATTTTGAATGCCTAACAGTAGTGGGGCCTCCAACTTATACTTATCCAACTTGCGCTGGCAAAAGTTGCTTCCGAAGCGAGAAAATTGTCTCGAAAATCGGATGACAGATTCGCCACGTTGGCTCCTCCTCTTTGAGTGGGCGTGACGTTCGTTCCGCCCATCCGTGCGCGTCCAACCAATCCCGTTCCGTCGAAATCGCTTTGCGGGTTCTGAAAACGGCGGTTTTTCGTAGTTTCCGCGGATTTCCGACTTGATATCCGAAATCAGGGGTATGAGAAGGTCCTTAAACGGCAAAAACATGGAGATCGAAATTTTGGGTGGACGGTGCCTTTAAAACTGATGCATTTGATGTTCAAAATGGGTAGCTCCAAAGCTCTCACAGACAGCATACATATTTATGGCATTGGAGGGGTAAGGCACCAGAATTTGAATTCATGAAATTTGGTAGATGAATATTCATGAAATGGGTATCCTACCCCAGAAATAGGCACTGGAGCATTACCCATGGTAGCTTCAGAAGCTGTACTGTAGTAAATAAAAACACCGTGGTCAACATTTGGATAGATTATAAAATAACTTGTGAAAACTTTGAGCCGATTATCGTGTCAATCGTACATTCAAGTTTTGGTAATACTCCTGTGATTCAGCAATATTCTTAGACTTTTTCTGAGACTCCTGCGATCTCTGCCGTTTCCGGAAACCTTGAATTTCCGCTATGAAAGGAGCGAAACGTTCTATGATGATGGCTCTGACGGAAGCAATAAGCACAACAAAATGAGATAGTATCGGTGAAATCTATTCATTATTAACCCCCCCCCCTCCCCCCCCCCCCCCCATCGTAAGAAAAAGAACATCTGCGCTTCATGAATAACGGACATCACAGGAATCACAGGAATGATGAGTTACAGCCTCATAGATAGATAGAAAATGTTGCAAATTTTGTGCACAGAAATATTACTTCTTTTTGCAAGATTATATGAACATTGGTCATGCGGCTGAAAGATAGGTCGCCTCATATACATGCAGATCGTGTCTTGAAGTGAACAAATCGCCGAGGAGAGCTGAGTCAATAGCTCTTTCAGCACCGGTTGAATGAGGCCGAGGGGAGGTCTCCGTAAGTGCAAAAAGAACTCTCGAACGTTTTGTAGCTGGAAACAAGTTGTAAAGAAACTTTCGTTTTCGGGAACCCCGAAAGTTTTCGGCCACATTTGCTCCTATTTCAAACAGCACAGAAAAATAAGCTATAGCATTACTGCTTAAATGTAGACTATAAATTATCCAGCAGGTATGGCTCATTGAAGTGAGGACGAATGAAATGAATTTCGTGGAAATTAGCATTTAGATAATTCTTGAACCATAGAATGGACCTAAAACGACCTTCAGCTGAATGAGAACCTATACTTTTTTACCTTCATTGGCATTACAAATTAAATGTGCCGGGTGGATAAAAATAAGTTCGTCTTGACATGCAGATACGAATTAATAAAAATTTAAACGGTATGAAATCTGATAACATGGTTCCAAGCAGAATATCTTGAGAGCTAGGTACTTTCTTGCGCTACTACGTTTTCGAGAAAATAACAGAGAATTCTTCCGATATTTCAGGAGGAATCATTCTTCGCCGGAAAATCATATATTTCTGCGAAACTCTGTCTATGAAATTTCACAAATCCTCAAACGCCTGAGATCATTTCCTAGCCAACCCAATAATATACGCGTAATTCAGTTTCACTTTTGACACGTAAAAAAATAGATTTGGTGAAGAATTTACTGCGTAAATTTACTACAAATTGTATAACAATATGAGATGGATCTATTTCTATGTATAAATGCAGTACGATATTTTCGACCTGGTCATCTATTATCGTCTGTAAAAGAGCAACGGTAGAGAAGATGTTTTTGTTAGTAAGAGTGGACAACGACAATACGCAAAAACAAGCTGTGAAAAGCACGAATAACAGAGAGGACCATTTCTTCGAAAACAATCAGTGCTCCATCACGAAAATCTAGCTAGTTGACCATGGTCATAAATTCCTCTGCAGCAAATGAGAGCTAAAGGGGCTGAGCAAGCGGGAATTGCTACGCTTGTTTTTTCGCCCATCAATTTGATGGCTTTCAAAATGTGACTGTCACCTGACATATTCTAGGATGTGTTTAGTGCAGAGCAGATGAAGTGCTGTTCTCATAGATTTGTGATCGAGAAAAGTGCTATACTATCATTCCGTTAAAAAACTGAAACATCACACGGCTTCCGCAATACAAATAGGAACTTAATAGGAAGTCGTTAATAGTAAGACCAGCAAAATTCTGAACTCTTGGTGCAGTTTTAAGTAACAAATTTGGTAAAAAACACTCCGTTAAGAAGATTGGAGATTACGATATTTCCCTTAAAAATAACGTCCTACAAATAAGAAAAATACTGGTAGATAGCACATGTGAGTCGCCACTGATTGTGTTATACACACAAAAAGTTTTGGACCCCTAAGCAGTCAATATTGTGGAAAAAATATCGTGAAGAAACTTCCAAAAGCTTCGTGAAAAGTGAGCACTTCAGCGAAAATGCACCTTACACAACAAATTTCAGATTTCAAAATGAGATGACGTGGAAGTTCTTGAAGGGTTATCTTATTACAATTTCAGTAAATATAGAGAAACGGTTGCTCTCTGAAAAGCTTCCAAGAAGTCTTTCGATCAAACTAAAATTCCAGATATTTAACAAAGACCTTTGAAAGCTATATGAAAATTCTTTCAGCCTTCCCGCTCCTTTTCCTCCCTTTAATGGTCTTGTAGGCTGTAAAATAGCTTGACAGAAATGCCACATCAAATTGGCACCTTAGAGCGAAATTTATCGAATGGCGGCTATAAATCGGATGCGGACAAGTGAGTGGCGTAGCACAAAATGATTGGCATTGGCCAGTGGCTTCTAGAGATTGGCGGGTGTGGATCGTCCGCTGGGAGGAACCCGAACACAGAACAATCATGTTACACAGCGGATCGGAGCAAGAAATTGCACACATGGACGAAAAATTGTCGTTGTCTTTGTCGTAGCTCTTGAGAGGATTTATAGCTCCTCATAACGTTGTAAAGCTGCAAACATTTTGTTAGCAAAGCAGGCGTGGTTAGGCGACTGATTGACTCATGGATGGTCAACTCTTGGGATAGTCACTTCTTAATGGGCCTATAACCCTAAGTTCAAAAAAAAAGGGGAAAACTAGCCGTGGGAAAGTCTTTCACAAAGCCAATTTGAGTTCTCAAAAAATTCAGCAATTTTCTCTTGCAAGTAAAAGAGCCACTTGGGACTCATAGCTCATATATAAAACTATGGGAATTTCCCGACCCATCTTCACCTTCGGTTTGTCACTGGAATAAACTGATTCCATTCGGTCGTTTAAGTCACCGAAATTAAATTAAGTTGACAGTGAGTCAGAAGGATGTGAGGTTGATAGAATCTTGGTGAGTACTTCATCTTCCCCTACAACTTCCCGTGAATTTCGAAAAAAAAACCCCGGCGATCGCCAAAATCACCAAAGCTTGCGTAGCATCGCCAAATCCCATTTTAGAGTGGACAACCTTTAACCGAGCATAGTCCAACTCAGCTTGAAGAGGCAGTATATGAAACGAGCTAGCATCCCGGGTTCCAGCTCGGTACGGAG